CTTAGTTTCTTCGACATCACAAACTGTACTGACCTGTCAATGCAGGTCAGTCACAATATCACTGTCTTGTTCTTGTTCTATATAAACCATAGATGAATTAATCTTGCCTAAACCGGTCATAGCGCTTTATGCTACAGCTTTCAGGGCATTGAGAATTAGTTAACTCATTCAAGCCCTCTTTGAAGGAAGCTAGGCGATCAGCATGATCATGCCTAGGGATTCCAACTTGCGATGGAGTCCACACAAAACGTATATTATGGCCTTGTTCTTTTGCACGATACACATTTATCCTGATGCCATTTACAATATTTCCCGCACCTTTGCCGAGTCTGTTCAGAGCTTGAAGAACACTGTGTGAATCGCAGAAAATGATGCCTTGATTCAATAAAAATTCGGTGGCCATGAGTATTCCTGCCAACTCCTACAATCCTGGTGCTGCAAAATACTGTTTTTATATACAACAAAAGCGCATCCTGCTCTGGTCCCAGACTGAAAGGTTCTATCAGTGTAGCATTCATATACAGTTTCTAGATGCTCATTTATAATTGCAAGTGCATACTGTTTAAGTATAGTCTTTTTGGGGGGCAGTCGTATAATATACACTTAAGTCCGGCATTTTCCACGGTGGTACAGAACGTCCATGTAGGGTCTTAGTTATGGGTATGTTCAGCTGAGCTAAGTGTTTACACGTTACTTGTACCCATGGATTTGAGTATGAATCGGTGTTGTCTATCAAAGTTAGCTCTTCTATTCTGTGTTTTAGTGGTCTTTGGAACTCTGTACAATGGAGGGGTTCTCTAATTGGTTTGACACTAAATGTGGTATTTAAGTATAATAATATTTCATAAAGAGAAGGCAAATTAAGTTCTGTTCTCATATTCACAATCCTTGTTGTTCTAGGGGCACCAAGAATGATCCTCATGGCTTCATTCTGTACACTTTCTAAACTAGTTAACTCTGATTTCTTGAACAATACCAGGTGCAATGCATGGTAATATATGACCGACCTTATGTATGCCAAGTAAAAGAGTCTCGCAATATTGATATTAATACCATGGTCTTTGCCAGCAAGTGTCCTAAGTGGCTTCAGTCGCTCCCATAGCCTTTTCTTCAGGTTTCTGATGAACTCTGAATCATTAACAATCACCCCGAAGTATTTGTATTGGTGGCAGAGGTCTAGCTCAATGTCATTTATATGAAACCTTGGCAAAGGGATTGTCTTTGGGTTAAGTGCCTTTTTTCAGTTGAGATTATTAAGCCACATTCAGTAGCCCTTGCAGAAAGTATATCAAGAATCTCTTGCATTCTATCCTCAGATGAGGTTTTAATGCAGATGTCATTGGCATAGCAAATAACGGAGTCATTGCCTGCAAGTGGTATATCGCCCAGTAATCTATACATTAGGATATTACATAGCATGGGACTAAGTACGCCTTCCTGAGGTGTGCCGAGTTCAAATGCTTTTGTATGAGTGCTCTTAATGCCTCTGAAGAGAACCTGAGCCGATCGATTTGATAGATACATTTGAATTCATGTTAACAGTTTTCCCTGAATGCCAAAACTAGCTAGTTGCTCAATGATAATTTCCCTGTTTACAATATTAAAGGCAGATTTAAGATCAAGAAATACGGTTTGCATGCCTGGATTTGAGTTTGTTAAGTACTCTGCAAAACAATGCTGACTACTACGCCCTGGGAGAAATCCATACAGTCTGGGGGATAATTTAGCATTTATGCAATACATGAGCCTGTTCTTAATTATTCTCTCAAGTACTTTGCACAGAGAGGAGGTCAGGGAAATGGGTCTGCATTTGTCAGTATTGGGTTTAGCTTTTAGTCCAGGAGCTTGGAAGGATTCCTTGTGATAGGCTGAGTCTATACAGGTGTAAAAGTGGGTTGCCTGGCACCTGAGCAATGTGGCGAAGGACGCTGTAAGTAATGCCGTCCTCGCCAGGGGCGGTTGCCTTACCTTTCAGAAGGGCATTGCTCAGTTCCCACTCAGTTATTTCGACAAAGTCGGAGGGGTCAATAGCAGCATAGGCTATTGCTATTAAAATTTTTATCTATTTTCGACTTGTTGAGCTGATTTTTTATTCCTTGTGGAAGTGAGTGTAACTGAGAATTTCCAGCACACTGCTCTAGCAGCATATTAGCCTGTCCTTGTGGACAGTGTTGTGAGAGCTTTACCTGTCAGCCTATTAATTTTTCTCCATACGTCAGCTACAGAAGTTTGACTATTGATACTTTGCAGGAATTGTTCCCAGTATTTACTACGAATCTGAGTTTTTAAGTCTCTGAATTCTTTGTTGGCTTTCAGAAACTGCAGAATATTATCTGTCGTCTTGTTATCTATATAACAATTAGAAAGCTCATGTACCCGTTTATGTTCCTTGGCCAAAATTGGATCATTGATCCCACCTCGGTGCAAGGGAGGCCTAGGGCCTCTTTTTCTTTGAGAGTTTTTGTGAACAGACCCATGTGTAATAGTAGTCAGTGACAACTTTGATTAGATCCTGAGAAAATTTTTCAACTGTTGTTACTTCATATGTGTTATACCAGTCATAGACCTGTGCCTTCAAGAGATGCTCAGGCCCGGTGGGATGATTATTCTGAGCCTAGGTGATTTAGAGGCTGAGTCGCTGTCTACCATATAGTCTGTTCATATTGCAAAGTGGTCAGTAACTAACTCTCGCATCAGTGAAGTACAGACATTACCATGAACTAAATTCTTGCCAAATACATAGTCTAACCTGCCACCTCCCAAATGAGTCTCTGTTTCTGTGTCATATACTGTTAGTGATCTACTACTGATAAAATGTTTGAATTCTTCTCCATTACTATTACGTTGGTTGTCTCCAAAGTGTGGATGCCTTGCATTGAAGTCGCCCATACATAACGTGCTTTGGTTGCGAAAATTGGGGAGAGAACTAGCCAGAAATTTAGAGTATCTGGCATATACATTATACAGTGAAAAATACCCAGTGGCAGTCTGAATTTTTAAATAATGAAATTGAACATAAGTGTTCTCAGATTTTTAAAATAATTTATGTGGCACTGTTACCTTCGCATATGTCAACAATCCAGTCATGGCTGTATTCACGTATGAATAATATCCCTGAATTGCAGGAGCTATTTTCATCTTAGCAGCAGCAGCAAAAGGTTCTTGCACGCAAATAACATCAGTATTATATTTACGGATATAAAACTCTAGGTCATTCAGCCTAGGCTTTATACTACGCATATTCCATGATACAAATTTGATTGTGCGTTTATCCATATGTGAATAGTGCTCTATTAGGCAATCTGTACCTCATGCTGTTATATCCTCCAATATTACGAATTATAGATTGACATAAGAAACATATAGCTTTATGATTATGGATTTATACTTGAAACTTTTAAACTTTTAACCATTTCAAATATTTGGTCTTAGCTTTGTTCCACTTCTCAGCACAGCCCCTTCGGTTGTTGTGCTAGATGCACCTGGGGGGCTGGTTGGTCATTGGACAAGATGTCACAGGGATCCTGATATTGTTTGTGTCGGCTGACAGCGCTGACACGCCCACTCTGGTTATCAGCATTGACGGTCTGACATCGATTCTACTCATTCGTTTTTTTAGTACTAATGGTAACACTAGTATCACGGCGGTGACAGTCACTTTTAATTTTTTCCATGTCCTGTCTCAGCGTCATTATTTCATTAATTAAGTTATTTTGTTCTTTCAGAGCTTTCATTTCCTTTAAAAGTTCAAGCACATTTACGTCGCCTTGGACAGCTGGCGTGACGTCACTTCTGTCACATGGCTATGCGGGGGATTCCCCCACCTAGCCTGCGGTCATCCCTGCCTGAGGGTGAGGGACGGATGCCTCGGTTGGCTCCCGGGGAGGGAGGCGGGGCGTGTTCTTTAATTCAGAGAGTATGGTAGCTGGCTGGTGATGACACAAAGGGCATGGTCTGGGGCTTCCCCACGGGTTGGGTTGGGAGGGCCGCGCTGGTCACTTGCGGTCGGTGCTGGGACCACGGGTGGGGGGTGGGGGGGGTTGGCAGGGCAGGGAGGCACGTGCACCCCCAGTGCCAGGCAGTCACACCTGTCATCCCATACCTGAAGCATGATGGGACAAAAGCTGGTGCTTCTGCAGTACTCTCTTCTCCTACAGCACTGCGAGGACACTCCCTGGCAGTATGTTGTCCACCACGTGCTGCGCAGCGCGCCTTACCCTTGCAGTACTAAGCTGGGCATGTACTTCCCAAAGAAGTGATATGTACTGGGAGGTGGTTGCTCTCCTTTCCATATGATACGAATACGGTTGAGTGGTTTCCTATCTTTGGGCACTCTTATGACCTTATGAACGCATGTTCAAGATCAAAATCCTTGTTGTAGTGGGTCACAAGGTATTCGTCATATTTCTCTTGTTTCTTGGGCTCATCACAAAGTTTGAAGGTAATACCTCCAATTGATCCTTCAATCGCACAAGGTCAAGGGGAGTGACCCCCCGCCCCAAGAGTCGTCGCCGAGGTTCTGTAGCTATTTCATTTTATCAGATATCGTGGTACCTTCAGGGAAGGCGAGGCGAACATAGTTCTTCCTTGGTGCCAGTAATGTCTTACGGCACTGTCGAGCTTTCGTTTTTTCTTAGTTTTCGACTTCACTAATGTGAAGCCGTCACTTCCATCGTCAGTGTCACTCACCTGGGCGTCAGGACCACCTTCAGCACCCGCCCTTTGCGTGGCAATGGATTCAGCGGGGCTATCCACTGAATTACAGACTGAGGCGCATTCTTCAGCCACGGGAGGGGAGGGACAGTTATCCATCGAGTCCTCCCCCTCAGGGTTTACTTTGCGGTTTCCCATCGTGGGGGTAACCGCGTGACCGACGCGCCTGGCCCGCCCGGTTCGCCCGCCTCCTGCGCTCGGGACAACGGGGCACTCAGCTCTAACGGTTACCACAGCAGTACTCGGCAGAGGAATTATTTCAAATTTCCTTACAAACATAACTATTATCACAGTACTACTCTCATGTCACTGAATTGCGGGTTATATGAGCACAAAAAATCATGAACTCCTTGTACAACTTCCTCATATATGACACCAGATATAAGGGGCGAGGGTACACTCGTGAAATTTGGCGATGGAGCCCGTAGAGTTCGCACTACTCAATTCTAAAAGGGGCTAACCTCTACAACTGAGCTAACCGCGACATATCCATCTAACTAAAGATCCATCCACCCATCCTTCTTTTCCTGAATTCATCACAGAATTTAGCCATCTCAGACCGTACCAGATAATGGCACCAAAATAATGTTAAAGGATAGTCGTACATTTGTACAATAACTTACCCTGGTGAGTTTGTGCTCAGAAAAGGATTGGGTTGAATGTTCTCAATCATGGTGTTTTGGCAGAGAATCGAAGCTAGGCCTACGGATCGAAGAGAATTCAGCTGATCTGTTGGAGCAAGGCAAAGTTTATAAAACCAGATAAATGAATAGATAGATATATATCTAAATAATATAAATGAAGAACACATGCATAGGCCTACGTTCAATAAATGGTTTGGCTTGATTTCGGTTCTTGTATCGGAAGGAACTAAAGTAAAGGTAATACATAAATGAATAAATAGATAAATAAGAAATGGAAAATAATGGAATGCTTATATATAAACATACATGTATAGGCTTACGCAATATGCATAAAAACACACTTAGGTCAACTTTTTGTAAAAGGTTTAGGCTGGGTAGGATTTTCGAACCAGAATCAACAATACAATACACAAGTACATAAATTAACAGATAGATAAAGAAAGAAAGCAATAGATAAATGGAAACAACGCAATATACATAAAAAACACAGATAGTCCTACCTTCAGTAAAAGGTTTAGGCTGGTTAGGATTTTCGAACCAAAATCGGTCTCCTCGCTTGAGTCTGGCGAACTGGTGGGCGATGATGCAGGTGAAGGTAGGACCGAGCAGGCCGTCGGGTACAGGCTGCTCGGCCAGACCAGCTGGGAACAGGTCGATATCGTCTGTACTCCTACAGGGAATAAATAGATTGATGGAAAGTGAAATTGATACGTGGATAGATAGATAGATAAGTGAAATTGATTCGAATAATAGATAGATTGATAGATAGATGAACGAATAGATGATCAGGGGAGAATCAAAAGGTAGTGTCAAAGCATCAAGATACATTAAGTTCATGCTATTATTATTTATTATTAAGGTCATTAGTATTAGAATTATCATTATTATCACCACACATTGCTATCACCATCTTCATCCCCATCATCACCACTATCTCTATCATCGTCGTCACCACCTTAGCTCACCGGTACAGTTTTTGCGGGTTTGAACATCACCATCATCCCCACTATTATCACCACCACCATCACTTAGCTCACCGGTACAGTCTTCGAAACGTTTGTGCTGCGGATTTGAACAGAAATAAAGGCAGGTCATCGAAGGAGTCAAGGGTGGTCAGGTTACATTTTTTCCTCCATTCCGGATAGGCAGGAAGCCCGTGGTCACGTCCTCGCTGCGATATAGGATTTTGTGGTGATGATAGGTCTGTTATCCATCCATCTGTCTTTTTGTCGATCGGTCGGTCTGTCTTTTTGTCGGTCGGTCGATCGGTCAGTCGGTTGGTCTCTCTCTCTCTCTCTCTATTTATCTACCTGTCTATCTATCAATCTATCTCTCAAATGAATTCAAAACAACCTATATAACAATTAATTGTTATCTCATCACCTAACTACTATCCCTGACATATATAACCAAGGAAGTGTATACATATACATACAAAGTGCAAAACAACAAGGATAAAACACGGATATTACCTGTATATTAAGAGCCATCAGATCCATCCCGACCGGATCATGAGGGCCCTTAAAGAGGCTGTTGATTAACGCAGGAACGAGATACGTGTCGTAGGGCTGAGCGCTGGTGTTCACGAGGCCCTCGAGTAACGCTGAAGGCCTCGTCTGGTCCTCGAAGAGCTGTTCTGGCTTGAAGAAACTGTCCTCAAGGTGCAGGTCGGTCCCGTCGCCACGCAGGACATCGCCAATGAGAGTGTGGCCGAATCTGTACGCCATGTGGAGAAATGGGTTATTGCAGGAAGTGAATAAAAGGTTGTCAGTACATGGGAAGTCTTACTGTAGGGAAAGGGTTTTGTGATAAAAACGGAGGGTTTTCTATAGAAAAGAGGGTTCACAGTTGAGAACGGTTTTGATGGTCTTGTCTTGACCTTTAGTTTAATAATAAAAAAAAAAGCAAATGGTAATAATCGAGGGTCTCGTACAGAAAAAAAAATTAATGATAGAGTGGATTTACAACAGAAAGGGGGGTATAGTATAAACATGGTTTGGAACAGAAAGAAAATACATCAGATAGGAGAGATTACCATCATAAAAGAAAGTTTACTGCAAATGATGATGATAAAAAGTAAACAATAAAAAAGAAGGTTCACCATACAAAGAGACTACTATGACAAAAAAAAAAAATACTGCAAATGATGATAAAAAGAAAGTTCACCATACAAAGAACATGAGGGAATCTTTAGAAATAGGAAAAAGTTTACACTATAAAGTAACTGCACTAATGATTAGTGTAAAAAATATGGATTTATATAAATTGGGTTTATATTTTCAAGAAAACAAAATTTCCAGTAGGTAAAGATGTGCTGTAAAAAGTTTGTATGCTACAATTATACATACATGTATGCACACACACATACATACATACATACATACATACGAATATTCGGGAACACATGCACACACACACACACACACACACACACACACACACACACACACACACACGCACGCACGCAAGCACGCACGCACACACACGCACACACACATGCACGCACGCACACACACACACACACACACACCAACACGCACGCACGCGCGCGCGCACACACACACACACACATATATACACACACACATACATATGCGTATGTCTCCTGTGTGAACATGTACTCATTACACGTAGCAAAAATTCTGTTGCGAAAGTTTATAAATCTACATAAAAAAAAACGTTTTTCTGCTTTTCACCTGTAAGCTGCCGTGCCGAAAACATTCACAACAGAGGCATCCAGAGTAGGCTCGTAGTCATCAGTATATCCTGTACTTAAAGGATATAGTTTAAAGTCCGTCATCGCGGTCTCTCCAAGGACGACAGGCAGGAAGTCTCGGTAGGTAATTTGCTGGATTAGGGCACCAATGATTCGTCTTGTTTCCTAATTGTGATTGGGGAGGAAAATGGGAAGATAAATAGCATAACCTTGTGGAAACTGGAGGAAAAATTGTTTGCTTATGAGTGTTTATGAGTACTTTATCATATATATATATTTTCTCTCTCATATTAAACTAATCTTTAGTTTCATTCTCCTACCCTTACCCTTTATATTTATCCTCTCTTCTCTTCTCTTTCCCTTTCATTTTGCCCTTTCCTATCATCTCCTCTCTTAAAAAAAAACTCCTTTTCCTTTACTTTACTTTGGTCTTTATTCCCCTCAACTCTCATCTCCCCCCCCCTACTTTTCCTCTCTTCCCACGCCTCCTTTTCCCTCACCTCTCCCCTCTCCTTACCTCATAAAGCATGTTATCATCCCACTGTGGGTTCACCACGGAGAGCTGTGTTGCCAGTGTGTTATGCGCCCGAGCCCATAGTGTGTGCATGGAGGCCAGGGCAGGTTGTTCGTTGACCCGCACATCACCTTTAGAAAGAGTGCCCTGGCTATTAAGAGGGATTTGGATAACACTTAAATATATTCACACACACACGCAGGTTGCCCGTTGACCCATACATCACATATAGAGTGCCCTGCTCTTTATTAGAGATCATGTTTCCAAGGTGTACATATAACACCATAACTTATTTTCAATTTCATTAATCAAACATCAGATAGATTATCTTTTGTTTTCCTTTCTTATCCTTCTATCTCTCCCCTTCTCTTTCTTTTTCTCCTATTTTTTTTTAAGATAATGATATATTTTACTCTACTTTGATCTGAATGTGTGATATAATTAATATATGAGAAAATTTGTATGAAAAAAATGTTTTACTGTTTTAAGAAAGATATGTATTATTATGTTTAATTAATTTTCACCCAGCCATCAATCAATAAGAATCATCGGTAGGAAATATCATTTTTTTCTATTTAAAATTCTTAACTCTACCACTGACCTGCCATGAAACAGTCACCTCCTGTAGCCCCGCCCTCATCCCCCTCACACTCCATCACGGGCAAAAGGTGACCACGCCCACTTCGTCGAGCGGCCGTGCGGTTCAGCTGGCCACCGCTGCGCAGCCTCAAGTCCCGTGCCAGCTGGGACCTCGACCCGTACACCGAGGAACCATCCAAATATGCCGTCACTTGATTCACTTGTTCGCGGGGTCCTGTCGGCGAAGGTCCATGAGACGAAAAGTTATTTTCTAAACCATTTATGGAGGTGTGTATGTGGTTGTGTGTGTGTGTGTGTGTGTGTGTGTGTGTGTGTGTGTGTGTGTGTGTGTGTGTGTGTGTGTGTGTGTGTGTGTGTGTGACGCAAAATTAATCTAATAAGGATTGTCATAATAGAAACCTGGCAGGTGAAGCCTCACCCAAGACACATCCCTGGTTGGCGATGAGGGAGCGAACGAACCGCAGGCAGGACCTCCCGAACGCACTGTGAATCGAGTCTTGGGACACATCGATGGGCTGGCAGTCGCGTGCCCCGTCGGGAGTGGAGGGTTCGACTCCATTCATGCAGCACGAAATGGGTTTTGTCTCTTCTTCTGGAAAATAGGAGGGAGAGAAGGGTTACCACCAGGCGTCTGAGTAAGAGAGAAACAGACAGGTAGTGTGGTTATTCTGTGTCTAAAACAGAGTTGGTGAAGGCTTCGGTTCACTGTTTCTGATTTGGTTGATTTAGTCCCTTATTTTCCTTCTTTGTATAAAGAAGATCAGTTTTTGGTAAGTGAGAAGCTAAATATGATGTAATAACATTACTGAGGGA